CGGGTTTCTACGGGCTAGGGATTTTAGCAGCTTTCAGAATTTTCGAGAAGGTATTCAGTCCCGCAAAACTCAATCGGAAACATCGAACCGAATTCTGGAACGAAATTTTGAAACGGTCTCAGCCATTGCTTGAGTCGGGCGCACTGAAACTGTTTCTTGCTATTAAAGAATCCTAAATAAAAGAGAACGGGAACATGTTTTCTGCGGCTAAAATCACGATTATTCTGATTAGTTTATTGTTAGCATCTTATTTGAGAGTGCCTTCAAAATTTACAAATTGTAGTAAGTTAAAACGAACATAGATAACGAAATCGCTGTTTTCTGAAGATCGACGTTCAATATCTCAATTCGAAAATTCATGTAAATTCAAAAAACTTGGGAAATCGATGGATGAGTTTTTGTAAAGCACAAAAGAAGTTCTCAGAATATGTATTCCTCTTAGCCAAAAATCTAAAAATTGAAAACGTGCACAGAAAATCACAAGAATTCATGTAACGAAACCCTCAAACAGGTCAACGGAGCAGTTACGACAAATGTGTGCTTAATGCTAATATGATGGCCTTAATGTTTTTTTCATATTTGACTAATATTTGAAAGACGAGCATCTATGACTCGGTGCCAGGTCTCAGGAAAGCAGAGTGGCCTTTTTTAAGGATAAAAGTAAAGGGAAAATTGAACGGGGTCTTTAAGATCGCTATTTCTGCTTCTCTAAGCTCTTCCTGAAACCATCAAATGAGTAACTACCATATAAGTAACACGTCCATAAACTTGTTACAAGGCTGCCACCCACAGAAACTCAAGCGCACACTTTCAATAATTTACTTAAATCTGGTCACCAAGATAATAGTCCCACCAAGTTCGGGATGAAGATGCTCAACCGGGATTTCAAGAGATGTATGTAATGTTTGAAGACTAACAAGAACTGAAAGAATATTCGCTGTACCTTTTTTGTGATTTATGTTTCCGGCGAAGACCTCAACTCCTCAAACACCTATTATTTAGATTAACCTACCTTAACCAAGAATATGCACCCCTAACAGCGCTACAGCAGTTTCCCTGTTTGCAATTTTGTACAGGTTACAGAGCGGACACCGTGTCACAAGGCTCAAGTGAAGACCTCTTGCCGAAGCCTAGGTTGAAATTCTGTGCAGAGCGATATGTGGAGCTCTCAGCGAGATCTATTCATATAAGTATTTCTCATTATTTGACGGTGCAATACGTTCCGGCTTGCTTTAACTTTCAGGGATGAACGTTAAAAGGGATGTTAAATAATCGATCAATTAGGATTGCCAACATCAATCCGAATTGCTGGTATGTGCAGATTTGTGTGGTCAGCCGTCGAATAACACTTCTCGCGCACAAATCGACATGATGAGTGAAATCATTGTAAGAACTAAAAACATTCATCGTATTCATTTTGCTTTCAATTTTCCAAGAGATTTTCTGTACAAGACCTTTTACCTAGGCGTTCACAATTTTACTACTTCTTCAAGTCTTCCACTTTTTTAAGTTTAAAGTGAAATCAGGTTTGAACTGTATGCTGCATAAATATTCATCTCCTCAGCGAACTGATTTCAGGCTATGCTCTTTTATTTTGCAAAGTTCTCGTTGCACATACTCGTAGTAATTGCTGCTGTGGTAAGTTACTTATAGTCGTTTTTCATAAAATTAATTTTCTCTAATTGCTGCACAACTTTTGGAGAGCGGCTGTTAACATGGTAATATTTTAATTTGCTTATAATAGCTTGTAATGTCTACAATTATACCGAGCGCTTTTGACCTCGAGTAAAAAAAGATAAAACACATTTGATTAGATAAACCTTAGCATTGGTTTGTTGTAAGTTACTAGGTAAGTTTAAAAAGTTAGGCAAAATGCATTGGAGGAATGTTTCTTGTTACCATAATTTTTTATTCTATTCTGAAAGAGACTGTGGAACTAAAACGTTACTTCTTAGTTTCTTACAACTAAGTATGGAAGCCAGTGGGGAATAACGAAACGAGAAACTCGAAAGAGCGAAGACATCAAAAGAGCTGTACTACAAAAGGTAAACTTTTAACGAACGGATTTTCAAGAGCTACAATCGCTTAATATTCTAGATGGAAAAAACAGTTGCCAAAGTTTGCGATACAAATGTGCCAAAAAACTGCTTCTTCGTCTCCGATCGAGCATATCTTGACCACGAAAAGTGCTTTATTTCGATTTCTAATTATCTGAAAATTGTTCTCATTTTCAAAAATATTGTTGTTCAGCTTAATCGTTGAGCGCTCCCTAAAGGTGAGCGACATCAGTGATGTCAAAATTAGCGCTGCTGAGCTGGAAACACCACAAGGTTACATTTATCTCATTCATTAAACATATTCCAGGATCGTTTCTTCTATTTCCAGAGCTATCGTGGAAGAACTTCAACACAAAAAAGTGGAATATAAACAAACTTGTTATAAGAAATCTTTACGCTAAAGTGATGATTGGAGTCGCATTCATGGCAGAGGTAAAATATATTTTATCTAAGGATCTGAAACAGCTCAATTCTTATCTAGGCCCTTCACTTCGATCCAGAACAATATCAGGATGTGCTTGTAATCGGCCTTGGTGGCGGCGTAATGAGCAATTTCCTCAGTGCAGTTGATTTTATCAAGGTTAAAAAACGATTTTCTTAATTACTTAAGTACCTTCACTGTACTATGACAATAATAATGAAATTGGAATATGTTCTACCTTTCCTGTCATATATCTTACACAGAAATGATCCCTTTCTTTTATCATTTATCTACTATACTTACTTTCGCTTAGGTAAACCTTACCACAGTTGATATTGACCCAACAATGGCACAAATAGCAAAAGAGTGGTTTGGCGTAGTTGAAAGTGATTCAAATAGAATC